ACAAAAAACAGAGTTAAAAGCAGGGAAAAGACTAAAATAACCCTGGAACAAAAAGTGCATTTTAACAAAGTAGACGGGTTCATTCAGATTTTATTTATTCAATTCTGACTTCTTGGCCACTTGACAGTTGTTTAGTGAACGCCTTATGGATGATGATTCATTTTGTCTCCAGCTAGTTGATATGGAAAGAAGAAAAATGATACGATCTTTAACATGGTAGATTAGATAGATCTATCAACTGTATCCATACTGATGCATGCAGTTCTTGTTGCCAATCTTGAAGATGATCTTTGACATTCTAGGATCTACAAGAAGGATAAGTATCTCCCACTAATCGTCCACACCCTATTCCTTTGGTACTATTCCTGATGGTGCTTGCTCCCATTTTTCCATAAATCCAGGCTAGGGAGTTGGGCTTTCATGGCTATATAAAGACTTCCAAAAACCCTAGACTAAGTTTTTGTTTCCAATTTAAACTTTTTCTGAGTGGTAAAAGAGTAATTCTTGTCTAATTGCCACCAAATTAACCATCATATTTTGGGAAATTATGGTCTAAGGCCATATTTTGCACTTTCTCTATAAGTAATTCCTCCAATAATAACTTTTGAGATAAATGTGCACTTGAATTGGTGTAAAATACCCTGGGGTAATATAAATCCATAAAAACTGGTTTAAACCAGTTGCCACCAATCCAATAAATGAGTTCAATACACACATCTAAGTTGCATGCCATGAATGAGTATGAATAGTGTGTGAAACACATCAATAGATAAATTCTGTGTATTTCTTCGATCTTGTTAAGGTATACCACATTCAAGAGCTGACCCTTCAAGCATCCCCTAGCAACAATTTAAATCAGATGGGTCAGACTATTTCCATCAATAAATTATGTATTTCATGTGAGTGTGTGTGTGTTTTGGCTAATTATCAGTCCGGTGTTCCTGATAAATTTAGTATCAAATGCACTGAAAGAAATATATCTTTAAACAACACTAGTGCATAAAATAAAAATGTTTGCTAGCCACATAAAATACAAAATTCAACAGTTTTTTATGGAACCAGTCCTTGCTTTAAATTAGTTCTCTAATTCTCTTATAAAATAAGATACTTTCGTTTTTAACTGAACAGCTGTTTTGCTTGTAAAGGGCAGTATGCTATAAAGCTCTTTGGGGACTGATTCGGATCCCTCCTTTTTGTGTCCATGTGTGTGTGCACTGAAAATATAATAACCACCATACCAGACCTGTTCATGGGCCCGGCCGGGTTTACCTCTTTATAAACAAAAATTGACTAGGCCTGAGCTCAAGGCCTCAAGCCCGGCCCTATATAAATCCCAAAGCCTGACATGAATATAAATTTTTATAATATATTAATTATATCTTATATTTTTATTATATATAGTATTATCAAGTCGGGCTCAGGCTCGAGCCAGACTTATTTGGGAAAGCCTGAGACTGGCCCAAAAAATAGTCAGGCCCGATATTTGGACTGAATTGGACACCAAGGGTATTTTTGTCATTTTACAATTTTCTGTAGAGTTTAATTATAGGGTTTGATTGCCTATCTATGGTTTTCTTATGTTTAAAATTTCAGTGTCATTGCATAAGTAGGATTAGAGTTATTGAATCTCATTGAATTGAAATAGGATATGACAACTTAGTTTGAGTCCTACTGGGATTATTGAGTCTAACAGTTTGACTCCTAGGACTATTATGAGTCTAACAGTTTGACTCCTAGGATTATTATGAGTTTAGAGTCTATATATATATATATGGACGTTTTACACAAAGAGTAATGAAGTTTATTTAGTTTTTTTCAGCTTTTGCTAAATATGGTGAGTGATTCCCATACCATAGAGTGATTTTGCACCCTGTGAGTGATTTCAGGTATTTCTCTCTTTTTTCTCTCTCCCTATTTTCTTTCTTATTCCCTTAAGAAGCCATTACAACCATCAACAACCATAAATTTCTGATCAAAGAAGACCATCCAACATTCTCTAAGGGCTAGAATTGAGCTGGTCTTACATCACTTTTTCCTTCTTGGGTGGGAGATGGTTCAAGAAAGATCAATACCTGTAGTATGCTTATAGTATACACAAATTGTCAAAGATATCTCCAATGATTTAAATATTGATATGATACAGCCAACATGAGGCGTATTATATCGGTATTGGCCACAAGGGATATGGGAAATGCTACAACTAGGCCCTATCCCCTGAATCATGTGTATTGGGGCGATAGGGCCCCATATCTGCCTATATCATGTTGTATCAATCGATATGCACCGATATGAGGCGATATTGATTGATATAGACACATCATTCATGTTTTGTGTCTATATTTAAAAAATGCAACTGGCATGATTTGAAGTTTTGAACCCAAATCACCCAGTGCCCAAGCCTTAAATGCAACCTTGAACCACTAAACCAACCTTGATCTTATGACAATAAATGACATATATTTAATCCAGACAAAAAACATATATTTATCTTCAACAACTCCAACTAAAGGTAAAAAATTATTCAGAATTAGTACTAATGGAATAAATCATTTCTCAAATCCACATTTATATCAAAAAGTGGTTTTTAATCTGATTTATACAAATAAAATACTAATAATAGAGTAATTACTTTAGTACTTAAAATTTATATATTTTGAACATGATGTGTATCTTAATATTTTATAAATTATTAATTAATATTTTAATTTGCATTAAATAACAACATATTTATTATTTACAAAAATAAAGATATTGTTTACCAAATACTTGAGAATATAATATAAATTGAATTTGTCAAATCCACTAATCTACTTTTATATCAAAAAATGATTTTTTTTTCATAAAAATTATAGAAATAAAAATATTAATAATGGAATAATTATTTTAGTAATTAAAATTTATAAATTTGCATATGATATGTATCTTAGAAATTTTAATATATTTGATATATTTTAAATTAAGATTATGCATTTTTAAAATTATTAATTGATACTTTAATTACATTGTATAATAGAATGTTTATTGTTTACAAAATTATAAAAATATTGTTCCGCATTCACAGCATCCCCTTCTCCAATGGGACCCGAGAATAAAGCCAAAATGTGACCATCTGCATTTCTGAGCACCTCCCCCCCAAATACCAGAGGGACCTCGATTGCCTGAGCTGCATCCGTAAAAGTTTAACATAATAAAGCCTTCTTCAGGGGGCCTCCACTCTATCACAGGCTTCTCCTTGACAGTTGAGCTTTTTCCAATCAGTCCCCAATTCCTCCATAAGTCATCAAAGGAGCAGTGTGAAAACAAGTCAGGCTTTAATCCAAGTTACAAGTTATAGCCCTTCTGAGTAGACACTTCCAAACCGTAACCTCATCTCTCTCCTTATTATTGAATGTTCTAGCATTCCTTTCCTCCCAATCTGTCCAAACCATATCCATGTGTTTCCAAAGTGTGTCTGTATCTGAGTGCCCCGATACAATACTCAATACTGATACTTTTAATCCTTGGATCCTTGTGTGTGCCGTTCATAAAGCAAATTGGTACCACTTCTTTGGCACTACTTAGTATCTATTGCTTCATTTTTTATGACATTATTGAAGGGGTCATTGTTTGGTGCAATGGTAAAATTTGGGGCTAACAGGCATGACAACACAGGTTCAAGTCTGAGAGTGACCACTTACTGTAGAATTGCTTGAGGTTAGGTCCATATCCAATCAATCCTCCCTTGACCCTGGATAACAAGGATCATCGTTTTGGGTAATGGTTTTTTTAATCTCAAGATATTATTGACTTATATGGTCTCATGAGGAGAAGTTATTGGTGTCTTTTGGTTACAAATCTTTGGAAGAAGAGATAAATTCCAAGATATTCTGAAATTATGTTCATTCAGAGTAGGAATGACCAGATCACTGGATATGCATTGGAGTAGCTTATTGGCTGATGACTTGGAGGATTTTAAAGATCTCTCAATTGATTTGATTATAAGAGGTTGGAACACCTCTCTCAGTTCATCCCCCTCCCACCCCAAATTTGAGATCATTCTAGTGGGTTCCTCCTTCAGAGATCATGAAGTTTAATTTTGCTAGTTGTTCATTCAGTAACTCAGGCTGGTTAGGGATAGACCTGTTCATGGGCCAGGCTTTGGGCTGGGTGCATTCAAATTTTGACAAAAGCCAAGTCCAAGTCTGGCCCATGAACAGGTCTAGTTAGGGATAGGAGGGGCATATATGGTAAGGTGATTGCTTGTTATTCTGGGCTAATTGATAGGTAGCACATTAAGTGATGAGGTTCTAATCTTTCAAGTGGTCAGAGCTTATGCCCCTTGCCTAAGACAGCTCTTGCCTTGGTGGGAAACTCCCAGATTATGAACTGTTGACATAAATAATGAGGGTGGAAGGCTCTTGTATCATTGCAATAGCCCTTTCCTCTTGAGGTCATGGTTGATAGACTTAAAGATTTTATTTTTTTTCCCATAATCTTTTCTAGAAAGCTTTTTTATCAATAAATATTTTCTAGAAAAGTTCAAGGATATCAAGGTTGAAAGATAAAACTGAGGTACATATGCTATGCTAAATAGTGTAGACCTTGCCAGCCTACACTTGTTTATATGAATGCAATCTTAACTAACATGACAAAGAAAATGATAAAAAATGATCTAATAATTATGATGGAATCTTGAATTAATCCAGCCTTCTATAGTTTTACAATTCCATTGCACTTAAAAAAATATTACCTTCAACATGCTGAGTGGAAAGAGCAACAGTAACTTCTTTAAAGAAGTTAGGTCGAGCTGTTTCTTGTCAATGAGTTGATTTGAAAACTGGACTCCGAAGTGTTGTACAGTCATTTATTTTCTTCCATTAAATTGTTAGTGTAGTAAAAGAATATATTCTTTGTTTCCTACTTTCCTTTAAACCATAATGCTCATGGCCTAGAAATTTGAAGCAAAATCTTCCAAGAATAAAATGGAATAAGAACTGACTAGTCTGAATTCCAATCAACAGGTTATTAAGCTTTTAGAGAAAGAATCAATTAGCTGGACAGAAGAAGCAAATGGTGGTATAATAGTTATTCAATTGGACAAAATCAACCCCAAAAAGTTGAGTTTTGCAAGAAAATCTCATTGAGTGGTGAGAAACTTCACATGATGGGTTGAAGAGTTCTGGAGTTTCACCTTTTTCTGTTTCTTGTTTCTCACTTCTAAACTTGTGGCTTTTTTCCCTAGAAAATATTCTGAAGGAAGCTGGGGTGGTAGATAGTGGACCCAGGTCAAAAGAGTTTTTCTTCAAAGGCGCTTATTTATTTATTTTTCTGAGTTTGAAACTACAAACCATGATACATGGAATCAACAGATAAGAGGAGTGGTTTTCTGAGTAGTGGAAGATTTGCTCGACTATTTGGAGCCATTTTTCTATACCTCCATTTTTCATTTTTCTTTTTGTTCAAGTTGCTCTGTTATCGAGTTGAGAATGGGAGCTTGTCATACACAAAAACTCTTTTTTTTTTGGTATGGTACGTGATTTTTTTTTTTTTGATAGTATGATATGTGACTTGATTGTCTTTAATGGAGATGCCCTGCAGTATAAGGAACTCCTTTTGCTTGATATTTTGGATCTTGTCAAGTATTATTTTTTTTAAATGTTAAGATTGTATATGTTAATTGAACTGCTAATCGAGTAGATGTGTTTCTCGAGAAGCTAAAACTTTCATAATTGGGTGGACGATCCTCCTGATTGGCTGACGGAGGACTGAGAATCTTCTTTTGGACGCTTACAGGTATATATTTTATGTTCGCCTAGCAAAAAAAAAAAAAAAACAATAAAATAGAATTTATTAAAACTTGGGGTGTTTTGGGTTTATGGTTTCAAGTTTGAATAAATTCGGACGAGTAAACGTACAAAAATACACCATTTTCCTGAAAAGAACAAACTCTTTCAGAATAGTAAATCCCCGTAATTGACACAATGTGAGCTATTAGAATGTGGGTTTTACAGAATTTATTTTCCTTGGGTATTACCAGGTGTAAACCCAGGAAAAAGTTGTCAATATTTGAATGAGACAAAATTGCCCATTTTAATAAGGGCTATTATCTTATTTACTCAATAAATAAAAGAATATCGGTTCATGCACTTACTCTCGGGAAAGTGTTTTTTGAAAAATACTTGCCCAGATAAGTGTATTTACCCAGATAAATTACTTTCTTAAAAACGAACAGGGTATTTCTTCCTAGTTGAAAGTGTGGAACCGCTGGAGCAATATTAATTCTTCTAGTCCTGGTGTATTGTCCTCTTGGCAGATCCGCATATGGTCGCTACTCAAATTTCACTGGCAAAGCAAGTTTAACAATATTTCGTCGTGGTGCAACCCAGTTTTTAATTTTGCCCTATGCTCATTTCTTTTTTTTTTCCGGTGAAGGGAATCAAGGGGTGGGTTTGTGCAAGAGCTTGGTACCGAAGTATCGGTACTTTGAAACATGCTTTAAATTTAGATCCAACATTAACCCCTCCGTAAGGATAAGGGGCATTCCAGAGCGTTTGGTCGTGGCAAGGTTGCAATTCAGATTTTACTTATTGTTACATTGCAGCCGTGCATTGGGAATATCTTTCTATGAATGACAACACAAGTATCTTCGCATCTTTGTATTTATATGTTTTTATTCAAAAGGAGATATACTGGATACACAGCTGGCTGCAAGGGGCTGTAAGAACAGTGTGGACAATTTTGTGAGTATTAAATCCAATTTCCTGATGAACAAGAGTCAGGATTTGCTTCTTACAGAGTGCACCTCACATCAAATACAGACGTGTTGTGAGGTTGGTGTCAGGAGTAGATCTGGACTTAAGGAACAAATCCGAATCCATAATGCTGAATGCTGAATGCTGAATGCTGAATGCTCTGAAATTATACCAACATCAATCAATACTCAAATTTAAGTGCTTAAGTTGTGTATCAAAAAATAATTGTGTTTAAATTCCCATTTTGACCATTTGTTATTTCTTTTGTTTTTTACAAGCTATTTTGTGCTATACCCATTTTGGGCGACACATGGAATAATAATAATAAAATCAATAATTAACAATAGTTCTTGTTGGTATGGCATCTTTTCAGCTAAACTAACCAGTAACCACTATAGCTCTGAAATGGAACTCCATTATCTTCCAGTGAATTACTGGAGCAACGATGAAGGTGACATTGAGATGCATCTTGACGCGCATCTCATTGCACCGAAATAGTGAATGATAGAAATCCCTTTTGGCATCATGGTTCACCATGCTAAACAAGGGGCTTTATCTCAATCTTTCTTCCTATGATTAACTTATCCCAAAGCTTAAACATGGCACAGTATCCATGCCCAGACCCCTTTTAGCAATAGTACATTTTTTTCCTTTCTGCTATAGAATCCATGATCAAAAACTTGAATTTGTCCTACATTCGCCTTTAATAATATATACATTCGAGAAATGGAAACGGTATAAATCAAAAACAAAAGGAAACTAAAGAAAACAAAGAGGAAGAGACAGGCAGGCAACTTGGTAAAATCAAGAGCCCCTGATAATAAAATCTCAAGCTTTCCGAATTCCAATTTGAACAAATAAAGAAACAAAGGGGAAAAAAAAATTCAGGAGGATCCATGTGTCAGTCTCTGCATCTCGTTTTGATCATTGAGGGTCTCAATGAGAAGGGGAGGGGCATACTGAGCATTCCCTTGATGTTCCTCGGAATCTTGGCAGAAGGAAAGGATAATAGTGTCGATTGACATTTCCACCACTGCAAAGAAAAGTGTGGCAACGACATAACCGAGCCACCAACAAACCTGGATAAACATAGATATATGTTTCATTAGTATTCATTAGATATGTCAGTTGAACCATACCGAGCCACCAACAAACCTGGATAAACAACAATGACCTCGTTACCAAGGTCATTGTTGTTTACATTGATATATATATATATAGTTATATTAGCGTATGTTAGGAAGTTGGTCAAATATAAAAACACCATTACCCAATGTTGGGAGGGATGAACTAGTTTCTTTTTGGTACAAAGTGGCTGCTCTCATACTATGAATCCACGTTCTCACACCTGTCAGCTCAAGATTGTACCATGACACCAAGCAATGGCCACTAAAGACAGTCAAATATGCAGGGGTAAACTTGTCCTCCTAAAATCAGGATGCAAGGTAAATACCCTTCACACCCTTTATGTAAGGACAGCTGAGTATGGTATTGGATATGAAATTTTAAACTTAAAATTGAAGTATCCAACACGATACAGCACCTTTGTACAGGTATTTGGGAATCATAAGTCTACACCCTCGACCTTTCTACTCAGGCTAAAGCACTATGAGGTGACCTCCAAAGATTAAGGCTTTCTATTGTTGTGCCAAAGAATATCAATGCAGCTAAGTTTCTCCAACAAAGACTCTTGGCTGGGCTTCCTTTGTTTATACGAGGCAGCTACTCCATGGACTGCATTCTGAAAAGATGGGATGGCAGGCTGTTACTAGTTATTAGACCTGTTCATGGGCTGGGCTTTCACTCTGCATTAACAGATTTTTCTAAGGCCCGAGCCCGAGCCCGGCCCTCATAAAAAGCCCGAAGCCCGGGCCTGGGCCCGAGCCCGAGCCCGAAGTCTAGCTCATGCCGCTGCTATTGCTGAAGCGCTGAATAGAGAAAGAGAGAGATTATAAAGAAAAAATAAAAAATGTATATATTAAATTAATAATATATATATATATATATTCTAATAAATGTTATATATATTATATTATATAAAACATATATTATATATTTTATAAAATATATAATGCTGAGTCGGGCCGAGCCTGGCCCGAAACACAGTCGGGCTTGCTGTTTTGGGCCCGAGGTCAGGCCCGCGGGCCTAATTACACGTCCAAGCCCAACCGGGATGTGGGCCGGGCCATCGGGCTACCCGGCCCATGAACAGGTCTACAGTGGTTATGAACAGCAAAGGGGTATTAATTCAGAGTTTGGTGGCTCATACAATTGGAAAGTAATGATGATAGAAGAGGATTGTCAGGTAAACATTGAGGGGTGTATTGGGCTGTTGATTCTTCATTTTTTTAATGGCGCTTAGATTCTTCATTAGAGAGGCCAAGATATTACCTTCCTGTCTGAATACTTCATTTAAGTAGGTGCCCAGAATCAACTATTAGTAATTTGTTGGTTCTTTCTCTATTTGTAATGTGCTGCTTCGTATCAATGACCTTTTTTTTTTGATAAATGAAATGACCATTTTTTTTATCGATGAATGTATTAATGACTTATTTTAGTTCCAGTTCAACAAATTTCAAGATCATTTCATTTTCTAAACATTTAATGCATCTTTACCATCAATTCACATAATTCAAGAAACCACAAAAGGCTTACCAGAACTGGGAACAGAGGAGAAGAGATCTTGTTGTGTGCAGATCTGTATTTATGAGTATCCAACATCAGAAATGCAAAGACAGCACTGGATAGGCTGACACACAACTTCCCAAGAAAAAGGATAACATCTCCTATCACATTCACCCTCCCTATCCGGAGAATGTTATTCATGATTAAGCCTGTTGCAATTGCAGAAGCTTTGAAGAAGCCTTTACCTGTTATAGCAATCTGTATGATAATTTGAAAAATAAAATTAGCAATCAAATGATCTTGGTAGGTAATTGTAATACAACTGTCATAAATTGTTAGAGAACTTGGCTGTTGTTTTTCCCCTTTACTACTTTAACCGCAGGAGGGTTCTGAGCAATCACCGAAGTTCTTTGTAATAGGGTAGAATGTAGAAATCAACCAAGGATAACTTGCAGTAGCTGGAAATAATAATCCAATAGAGAATTTTTAATATGCAGGGTCAATCTAATCATGAATCTTCTATGCCTCCAAACGGGAGGCAGAGACCATTTTTGTCTCCTTCCTGTCAACCCATCCCATCTAAAATCCTCTTTACTGAACAATAGTCTGTGGAAAGTGGAGGAAGATATGACATCTTTCCATATTGGCTTTGATGATTCTAAAGAAAATTCTTCATTGATGACATAATCAGGAGTAGCAGTTGAGGGGGCTCACTGGGTAAAATCCTTGGATGTGTCATGTGTTTGCTAAATCTCTCCATTACAGAAGTTTTGTGGTGGAAGGGGACTCTCATGAAAATATAATATGGCTAAATTGAGCAGAATGAACCCATAGACATATGCACATGTTATGAGAAAGGTAAATGTGAAAATTTGAGAGAAAAATGAATTGATTGTATTGTCTTGGAAGGAGCATATACACAACTTTATATAGAATTACAGAGCTAATTTACAAGGTGATAAAATAGGAAACTAACTTTTCCTAAAAAACTAATTTCTATATCAGTGGGATTCTCCAATTAATAT